TATCTTAGGTTCCTAAAAGAAATGTGCCTAACACTTAAAAAACAACTTACTTTTCTATATAAACTGTTCACAAAAAAATCTTGCTATTCTGTATTACACTATGCATTTATAGTTTTATTAACATATCCCTAGTGGATATTGCTGCTACACAATACAATCAAATAGAAATTATTCAGAGAATCAACACGACTCCAACAATAAAAATATTAGGATCAATGGATTTGTCACAGTTTCTCCACAAGTGTTCATTATAGAAAATAGAGTAAAGGCAAGTTGGCCCCAGTGTTAGGCTGCTACACGAAGTTCCAGAGAGGAGACATAAGGGCGGTGCTTAAATTGGGCAGAACCAGGCTAGACCAGTGACCTCGAAAGTTTCAGGGCAAAGATCAAGCCAGGCCTGTAAGGCCTTGGTATGCTCTTGAACTTAAACACAGCCAGAGATGTTAAAGCCACAACTACAGGGAAGAATCAACAGACTACTGTATTTTCCTACAAAGTCTTCACAACAGTTCTCACAGTGATATTATAAATGAAAACTCTCCCTCCAAACCATTCTCATTCATGCTAAGGCTACAAGTACAACAGATGTGAACAGTGGAAGGAACAGTGGCTAACTGATGCCCAGGGCCATCTCTAACACCCAGGAGTTCCCAAGGAATATCACTTCACTGAGTTCAGATGTTTTGCTTTTATATCCCTGCATTTTTTCATACCTGGAACCAGTGAAATAAATGTGAACAAATTAATGATTTTAATTTATTCACCACTTAAAATTTTTTCTAGTCATCATCTTACATAAGTCTAACCTTATGCAGAAACCCTGGCCAGGTTTATATACTCCTACTCAAGCATCAATAGAATTTGAAGGTGGTTTTTAATAACAAAAATATCAACTTTCCTTGATGGCATAAATTAAACACATAGATGCAAAAGTGTTGATGGGCTTTGAGAACTGTGCTTTGACTACTGGGGAAAACTGAACTAGTCAATCTGTCTAAGCCCTACGTGATCTTATCAGCCAAGTGTCTTGGGCAGTGTCCTTACTAATACAATGGGGATGATAACATTAACAGCGTCTGGCAGTGGTTGTGAGGATTAAAATGACAGGATGCATTAAAGTGCTTAGCAAATTCAGTGAATATTAGCTATATTTACTATTGTTGTTAGTGGCTTCAGATGAGTCTAGTTTTCCCATGTGGCCAAGACCCATCTGGCCACTTGTACCAGGGTGGTTATTCTGAGAATGAACAGGTCTTGGAATGAGGCTTCTTACCAGATTTATTTTCATTGTAATTTGGGAATCTGTGATTTGGAGAAAGCCTAGCCCTTATATTAGTCAGCTATGGATGGTCATGCAGAAAACTAGTCACACTACAAATTTGGTAATTCAGTGCTTTCAGCAGCCAAACTGACCCAGCTGGTCCTTAGATGAACTAAATCTAGTTCTCTCAATGTTTCTCCTTACTGAATTACTGTGGAGGGCAAAAGTGGTCTCCAACGTGTAACTATACCCATTGGTTTTGAGTATTACATGTGTAGAGGTAAGTACCGATGGGTTATTTTTACACTACATGTTGTCTGGTATCAATTCTTCACTGGCCTCAAAGAAAAATAACATGAATAGAAGCAATGCAATGCAAGTAAATCTGCAGAGGGCCATCAGGAGGTGACACTTCCTTATATTACTCGAAGTCAAGTGGTTATTTTTATCTAATACTTATATGACTGAAAGAAGCCGTCACTATGTTTACAAAAATACATCATAGTGATACACACTGCTGTTTAGACACATTTATATTAGAGTTCTGACTCAAGCATTCTAGTTGACATGTTTTGCCAAGCAGTGTTGGCAAGTATTGCCACATTAAACATACACCAGCAAGACCTGCACTGTACGTGCAAAATCATTTTCTATGACATCTCTAAACATTTGTATATAATAAGAACTGTCAAAAACTACACAGATCTGTACTGTGAAAATGGCAGAGCACTGAAAGAGAAAAGCTGCTTAAATTTTTTCTCAAAATGAAGTTATCCAAGAATAAGATCTTAAAAAATGATTGAAATCTAAGTAAAAACTAAAGAGGTGGTGAGTGGGGTTGGTTTAGGCTCTCGCACATGTGACAGATAGAATCCAAATGAGGACGATGTGTCTGCTTTTCTGAAAGCAGTGTTTTCACGTTACATTATGTTCCATCCACTTTCTGATCACAATGCAAGGGAGGACAAGCCATTAAGGGTGACAGAAAAATGTGGAAATCATGAACCTTATCTTCCCCAAGTTTGTGTCACTGGCTAGATTTTGGGAAAACCTCTGAAGATTAGATACTGGACTTAAAAAAAAAATTCTTATCAACATCTGACACATGGAGTAGCTGGATCAAATAACATACTGTAAAATGTCTGTCTACTTATAATCCTGATGGAAGAATCTCTTAGGTCAGTGTGTTCATGCCTGATGGAGTAAGACAGACCCAGAGGATAAAAATCACCCACCTGCTCTACAGCTCTGAAGTCGCTACTACATCACTCAATTCCCCTACCACAGGAGATGACACCAATTTTCCGCAGATGCTCTAATATTCTCGTCTATATTCCTTGTGAAGCCTTATGAAACACAACTGGTGACAGGAGCCTAAATGCTGGGCGGGAAAGAGGAACAGAGATGCTCAGGCCCAAGAGCCAGATGACTTCAAGTGCAAAAGGGGCAGACTCTCATAGCTGACAGATATTCTGAGGCATTCAACCTGAGGTCAGACCATGAGATTGTGACCAGCGCATCTTCACGAGACGTAGGGCAATGTGCCTTTATAACTGCTGGCAGAATACTGCTCTCCGAGCCAGGTTCCCAGCCTCTCCTCTGACACACGTCACCGAAGGGTTAGCCTGAGACCAGAACTGCACTTGCGACTTCAAGCACCATGAAAAGCAGGCATACTCCGCGATATGACTTTAATTGGGGAAAATAGGACACATGAAGACACTGTCACTGCTGGCAGGTAACTGGGATTGTGGACCACACCTTGCCATGGACAAAAATACCCAAGTTTAGTCTTTGGTGTCAGGCCAGCCCCGTAACCTCCTACTCTCAACAAGAAAATGGAGCCACTTACATCCTGAGCTGCTGAAATTCTAAATCCATTTTACACCAATAGTAAATGACTCAAGGAGGTTTCTAAGACCTGACCTGAGACAAGGTTCAAAACACAAGTGCAATCCGTCCAATTGCCAAACACATAGAAGATTAAATCAAGAAAATAAGCAACATTTCAGGTTACAAAGAGAACAACTGAAGGCTGACAGCAATGGAAACATCCAGTCTACTTTGTGGCGTGCTTTTAAACCTTGCTCTTACCAAAAAGTAAGTGAACGTCCTTTGTAAGCTCTGATTTAAAAATCAGGACACTGTGCAGAACATCACCATGAACCAGGTAACACACCAGCCTTAAAGTTCAAACAGCAGCACGGAACATGGCCTAAGGGGAGGGGAGAGAATATCTAAGCAGATGCTGTCATCGTCCAAGTGGCTATTAGCAGGTGGTCTGGCTGAAGAAATGCAGGCTTAAGGAATAGGAACAGTGAAGAGTGTAATGGACCATCTGACCTGGGGCAGGGGGTCATAGGTCCTCGGTCTGGAGAGGCAAGAGAACTGTGTGATGCAAGTCACATATTTCTGGGTCTGTTTCCTCACGTACTTAAGAGATGGCCAACCTATAGTGCCAACATTTTGGAATTTGTGAAGTATTGGAAAATAGCTGATAAAGAATTCACATGAAATGGGGTTGGGGGATTGGGGGGTGGGGGGAAAAGACCAGGTGTGCCTTTGGAGCAAAGGCTGTGTGCAACCAGGTGGTTTAGGACACAGAGCCTACCCGGTAGCCTTCTCAGGTGATGGTAATTAGTCAAACTGAAGATCCCCAGCACCCTCCTTCATAGTAGTGGTGCAAGCACACCTCTAAAAACACCGGCGTTTAAGGCTGTGGGGCATGAGCTCACACGTTCCCACGAGCACCCTCAGTGAGGACCAGCACAATGCGGGGCTCCAGGGTGACACTCAGATGCGAAGATGTGCAATTCTCAAGCTTGCAGGCAAGGATAAGAGGCGGAAGTCTTTTATCTTTTTTAAGCAGTTACCAAATGTGGCTTTAGAAAAAAAGGACATTGTACTCAATGGTAAGGAAACAAAAGTCCAAGGCAAAAAAAAAGTAAGATGGAAAGAAAGATGGGGTTATGGTGCTAGGCTCTTGGCCCAGATTTCACGTCACCAAAGCATCTCCTAAGACACTGACTTCTCAGACCTCTGAAAACTCTTCTAAGAGTATCTCTCCTCCATGGTTAGTCAAAGACATTACTCTCACAGTTCCCATAAGCAACATCACATTTGCCCTTATCTTTTCTTTTACTTACAAATTTTAGCTAACTTGCCCGGAATAGGATCAAAATGTTAGTTCTCCCCACACCACCTAACAGATCTGACAAATGACCATCTCTATAAACATTAAACCTTTTCCCATGGATGAAACTAATACTCGTAACAAAAGCTAAAAGAGGACCTATTTCTGGGGCATTATTGAACATAAAGGATATTATTTTACAAAAAATGGCAAAAAAACCCCACACCTTTATAAATGGACGCACATAAACTTTAAGGGGATTTCCAATCAACTTTCAAAAAACCCTTAGTTATGTGTGCAGATGACTTGAACAGCCTTCAGTAAATGCTGCCATTCAGCCCTTCGTTCTACAAAGAATGCAGCGATCTGGGTCAGTGTGGTAAGGGAAGGCCTCTCCTGCCGTCCCAATCCGAAGCCCCCTTAGAAACGGATTCTAGCAACTCCACAGCTTTCACTGGTGAGAAATGGTACCAAAGACCCAACTAATTCAACAGATGGAGCTCAACAAACTAAATGGGAAAATGAGTAGGAATGGTCCAGTGGCAACTCAGTCAAAGCATACAGTTCAAGGAGACGCTGCGGGGGTGGGTGGGCAGGGGACACAACAGTTGGAAAGGAACATTTTCATCAATGACAATGAAAAACATATGTTTATGCAAATTCTAAAGATCAACTCAGCACAGAAAGACCCTCAAACTTCAGAGTAACTACAGACAAGCCCATTGCATAGCTGTCAGGATGGCCTTGAAGCTGTGTGTGCGATTCCAGAACATCTGGTCAGCTCAGTGACCACCGGCAGTCACACCACTTGTTTGGTCTTCGGCACACCAAACACCTAACTGGTTACATTCTCCTTGTGCAACCCATCACTTTGGCATTGTGTCAACAAAGCCTGATTTAAGGCTATGGAAACTGTGGATCTATGAACATATGAAATCAAGTGTTTAAAAATGGTTTTGGATCTTTGGATGTTTCGTGACTGACATAATAAAACCCAAGTGTTTGCAAACTTGGGACCACATAGTGCCTTCCTGAACATGGTAGAACTTTTTTTGGGTAAAAATAACTTGAGAAAAGCAGCTGACTTCCAATTAGTCACCGTCTAGAGGTGGTCTGTTCTCTGATAGGCTTTGTCAAGGTAGAGACAGCACACAATGCCACTTATCTTATGTCTTTGCTGACAAGTATGAATTCAAGTCTTTGGAAAACAAAGACAACTTACTTGAATTATGAAAATGCTTGTTCCTTGTCCTTTGAAGTAACTCCACGTCTCTACCTTCTAACACGAGCAGGAACATTAACCTGATCTTGGAAGCAGAGCTTACTTGAAGATTTCCAATAGGTGACCAGAAGTTCACCTATTTATTTTACCTTCACTGTATAGCTAGTAATCATGTAAAATCAATTGTAGTTTTTTCTAATACTCTGAAAGTCTGTTGTAGGTTCCACAAACTTCCCAAACAACCCTAAAATGGATTTCTTTTTGGGAACTGTGGCAGTAGATCAAGAGAGTTACAGTTTAAGTTCTGTAAAGTCTGACAGAATGACATGCTTCGGACTCTAAGGTGATGGTTAACAGGACATTCACAATTGGGGCTCTTAAGAGGATCAGCTGCTGCAATGGAAAGATTTTGTGTGCTAATCCCCAGACCCATCCAGGGAATTTTTATTGAAGACTTCATCTTGGGAAGCTTGTTGCTCGATCCCTTCATAAAAGGAGCCACCGTTGTGCAGGAAAGTGCCCACGGCCCGCCCCTGCCGGGCATGACCCACAGCGTCGCTGAATACTTTGTTTATTTGTTCCTCTGAGGGCATCCACCAGTCGGGGTTGGAGGTACAGTGCATCCTAATGAATTCTGTGGGAATATACACAACAATAAAAAAAAAGAGAGAAACACAGCTGGTTTTTGCAGAAGATGACAGGACAGGCTACTTAAACATTTAGAGAAGCTCTTTAAGAAAAGCTTTATGGGAAATCCAATGTAATGCCATGATGATGTCACTACTTAAGACTCAACATATTCCATATAAATTTTCTACTCATTTTCAAATGTAAAAATCACAGTGAGTGAGAGGGTGATCCTTCTAAGGAACATTTGCTATTGAAATAAACGGTAAATCTGATTTGCAAGATGTGGTATATACGATGCTTGGTAAAAGTTACGGAGTGCATTTTAAAACCCATGTTGTTACCTGCTCACGTTTTAGAATGTTAACCATCTCTAGAAGCACAGCAAATATCATTATCATGGCACTCTCTTTAACAAGCTACTAATGTGTAGATTAAGTGTAATAAAATAACAAAATCTCAATGAGTGTCTCTAAGATTTAGTTCAGAAGAGGTTTTCACATTCTTAAGATGTTGTACTGTAAGTTACACTTCTTGGATTGTGGTACCTAATACTGGTACTGACAAATATTCTTTAAATGCAATTTCCTCTACATATTCAATTTCAGCAGGAAGCAATGGGCATGCCTGGAAGAGTGAATACTATAAAAAGTTAACTAAGACCCCAGTGAAATAACTTCAGCCTCCCTCGGGCCAAGCTCAAATGAACTCCTGTTTTTTCTCAGGGGGTTAGGGCACAGACGTAATTCTCATGTAGTCATTTTAATATAATACTGGTAAATGGAAATGAGCATCCTGAAAAACGTTCTAAGGCACACTGTGTTTTCTGAACAGCTGATTCAAAGTTCAAGGTGGCTATTATTTACACACCATTTCTCCCCTTGCAAAGGACAGTAATACTGGTTTTAGAATGGGAGGCTTGAAATTTGTGTGAAATCCTGGCCTTATCTGCCCTTAGGAGAAGCTGATGCTTTCAAGTACTTAGACCATAAAAATGTCACAAACTGAACTGTCTCCACCTTAGGAGTCTAGCTTGGAAGCAGGGGCATCACCACGTTTGCCAGCATCGCCTTCAATTCTGTGCCTGAGGTGAAGGCCTCATTCACCTCACCTCAGTCCCATCCCTGGTGGCCTCACTGGGAATGAAGTGGGGACCTCTAGGGCTCAAAGTTTTAGCCCACTCCCTATTATTGTCCTTGTGTTTGCAGCCATTCACTACTGTCTTTAAATGATCTCCAGCCCCAAGTTCCAGAGGTCAGGGGTTCTGTTTTCCATTGCTCTTCAGTCTTCAAGTCCTACTGTATTAAATATTCAGTAACTGTTTAAGTGGCTTTCCTGTCTCTGTCCAGACTCTCCACTCTGCTATGAACACAGAAAGGAACAGGCTAATGGATGAAGCAAAGCAACTCTGAGAAGGACTACTCTGATGCCCCCACCTCCACCTCTCCTCAGTGGCCACCCTGGCAGAGGCTGTAGAGGCTGAACAGAGCCCCAGCAGCTACACCAACTAGGAGCACCTTCACAGGCCCCTCCCCTCCAGGGCCAGACCCCCTGTGGGAGGGGCCAGCCTGCAACTTGGCTCCATTCCCCTGAAGCACCCTGCTTTCTGTCCCGTGGTCGGAGGCCTCCTCGGCCCTTCTAACCTTGCTTACACAACAAGGACCTCCACCCTGGGAGCCACCAGGTCTAAACCTGTATGAAAGGAATCCCATCTAGGTCACAGTAAAGCCCTAGGCTCTCAGCCTTCGGGACAGACATAGAAATGCCCTCACCAGCTGTTTGACACAAGTTACCCTCTCTTGTCTGTGTGTGCTCCACCTGAGGCTGGCCGGAAGCCTGTGGGCTTGTCTCCAACTGAGGCATGAGCTGGGGAGTGCTGACCGGGCAGGCAGCCTGGGCTGCGTCAGCGCCGCAGTGGGTCTGGCAGCATTCTCAGGGCTGAGGGACTGGTGCTTTAGGATGTATGTTGATCCGTTTTCAGGACTAGTAAGAACTTCTGGAAGGACCCAGCTGTGGGGCCCCTCACCCGGACTCCCCTTGTAAGCCTCAGGGGAACTCCTCCCAGTACACAGAGGGTGCTCTCCGGAGGGCCCCAAGCTCAGCTCACCATTGCCTCGGCCCCTCATGGTGAGTAACTCCGTCAGCTCTGATGATGCTGGGGCATAAAGGAAACGGGCTAGCTTGCTCAGGTAGACCCTGGAAATTTTCATCATCCAGTCACTATGAATTACGTGGAATTTTCAGACTGGCTCACAGGGTGCCCTGGTGCACCTGTGCCTAGTTCACATGGGTGCATTCATTCCAGGTGGGCCACGGATATCACCATCACCTGGGGGAGTGGAGATGGGCTACCATGCATAGCACCCCCACTCCCACCCAGACCTGCTGACTCAGAGGCTCAGGGTGGGCCTGGGGAATCTCAAGTGCTAACAAATACTGCCTATGTGTCTTATCCCAGGAGGAAATAGAGGGGTGAGTGTCCTTTCTGATAACCAAGGCCTTTCAATGATACTATTTTTCACTGTGAACTCTTTGCCAGGAAATATTCTGATCCCTGTCCAGCGTAAATCATCATTAAGTCTTTCCAGCAATAAAACCACTACTGAACTATATAGGTTAATATTTGAGCTTTTTGATATGATTTTTCAGGTGTGAATGGTGTATTTGTTGGCACTATAATGTTTCTACTTGTCTAATTCTGTGTTTATTTCCCTTGCCGAATTGGCTGTACACGTGTTGATTCTTCCTATTCAGCCTCTGCCTAGCCTACCAGTAATAAGTGCAAATCAGTGCAAACTCATCAGCTGTTGATACTGGTGAAACGGTATTACCTAAGCAGTTATTTTAATACAGAAACTTATTTTTAAACTAACAATAAAGTTTGGGCAAAGAATACTTTAGGCACTAAGGAAAACATTCTAAATAAATTTAAGGAGTTGGGGGCAATTATTCTTGTGAAGGCAACCAGACTGGGGGAGAGGGAGCTGCAAATGGAAATGGTATACAGCATTTTACTAATTTTTAAAAAGTCCACGTCTTCCCTTCCTCTGCACTTCCCACCGCTCCACTTTCGCTGGGGGCGGCTGCCTCTGGCAGTAAAGAAAACCTGAATGGAAAGCATGAAACCTGAGGTGCTATGCAGTGCTTCGGTGCCATTAAGTGAGAACACCAAGGCTAAAGCCAATGAAGGTTTTTTAAAAGAACCTCTTGATACCAAGGAGATGGGCCACATGAAGCCTATAAGGTTCCAGGGGGAGAAACCCAAAATGCAGTAAAGGCTGAACACTTGCACAGGGGAGCCACAGCCAATGCGGTGAAATGAGATCACAGATGCGCCACGAGCGGAAGGATGCAGTACCTCGGAGGCATGTTACTTTAACTGGATCCAGAGGGCGTCTTTCAGGACCTGTCTCTCCTGACTGCACTGACCTTTTCCTTTTCCCAAGGCCGCATGAGTACTTAAGCTCATCGGTTGTGAAAACAAATCTGATGAGGTATCGAAGGAGCCGTCTCCCATCTTTCTTTGAAGAATTTACTGCCTCGTCCCACTGTTTGCTTGTTATGTAGACGGGATAGTTGTTCAACAGCTGCTTGCTTCCCTGGAAAAAGGGGCGAAATATTTTCTCATTACCTACTTAGCCAGCCAGCCAGAAGCTGAAGCAATCTCCATTTCAAAGGCAAATATGCTGTAACCAAATGGCTATGCTGACAATGACCCAGGTATTGAAGAGCAGAGGTAATTGCTCTTCAGAACGGGCACTTTTCAAATTACATTTGCATTTTCTATAACAAGAGCCAATGAGGTATAATGAACACCTTTGAAAGAGGAGCTATTTATAACTTGCATTTTAACAGGTAGGTTAAAATGTGTCAAGATCCAATGACAAGAAACACTATTTAAATATAACCCGTAACTTTCCTTTTCAATCTATTAAAATATGCAAAAATGACTTGGCAGAGTATGCTCAAACAGGGCTCTCCATCCTCTGGTTGGTGGTGAGGTACTTTTAGAAACAATCCTGGTGGTCTATTTTCATAAGGTATTACTTGTAGCTAATGCACCTAACGCGACAGCCATTCCATCACCGGGCAAACAACATTAAAAAGTGAATTTAAAAAACAGGGAATTGTAGACTCTGAAGAAAAAAACTCATTAATAATAATGCAAAACAGGTTTTCTCAAATTATAGCTTCTGCAAATGCCACTATGTCAACTCAAAATTTTTCTTACTTTTCATCGTCTTAATTTATGTCTGCTGTAAAATTCCCAGGCTAAATAGCTGCAATGGGACTAATTACAGGAATTTCTGTAACATTTATAAGCCATGTTTAGTCAATGGCACCTACACAACCATTACTTTAGTTCTGGTTGTCCATAAAATTCTACAGTCCAAGACAAATTAATTAACCCATGATCTCAGTTTTAATGTACTCCTTCCCCAGTAATTAAGGTGTACAAAATAAAGAAGAGAAAACTCATTCCATTTTACAACTCTGCAAATTTACTACAGGTTATAAATTTGGCACAGTTTGGGTCTGAGAGGGTTTTATTTCAAAAAATGTTCTGTTCAGTTAAGCACTGAGGAGGACAAATGGCACAGTGGCTGACAGGAAAGGGGCGGGCCAGGTTTGGCTATGAAACTGCCACTGAATTACACTCGCCGAAGCTCACCCCCTACAGCCTGCGGGCTTCCTCCATCCAGCCCTAGTGTGACTTGGTGTCCTTCTTCAGTGGGGGTGGAGGTGGTTCATGGTTTGTGTTTTCAATTTAGAGTCAGCTTGGGTTTGAAATGAGTCTTGGTTCCGGGTCTTATTTGTCATGTTTCTTGAGCAAGTTACCTCAACTTGCTGCACCAAAGTTTCTTTGTAAAATGGATTTAAGAACTAAAGATTATGGATTTAAGAACTAAAGATGGGTTTAAGATAGGAGTGTTTTAGCATAAGCCAGCTCTTGGCTCTGTTGATGGGAGGATGGGCAGGAGGTTCCAAAGGGTCCCTCAGGCCAGGTGCTGTGTCAGGGCAGGCGGTGAGGGATGCAGGTGTGCCCCGAGTCTGAGGCCATGCAGGTGGAAAAGCTGGGATGAAAGATGGAGCATCAGGGCATCCAGCAACCAGTTCAGTGAGCCAGGGTGCAGGGGACTGAGGCATCGAGATGTGCAGGTGAAATGCTGGGCTCTGTCACAAGGATAAGGAACGGAGGGTATGGCTGGGAGGAGAGGGCTGACAGCAAGTAAGAGAACTCCATTGCTTCCCATGCACACACAGGGAGGGAAGAGGTTGCAAGGGTTGTGAGAGCTGACCCCTCAGGGCAGCTAGGCGTGGCCGGCGTCCAGGGCTGGCTGCCTCAAACCATGAATTGCCTTAGAAGTGTTCCTGTGCAAGAACCTTAAGTGTTACCATTTACTGAGCCACTGCTTAACAGCCCGAGCTAGCCCACACTGTGCACCTGGCCTCTGCCTCTCACAGGTACTGGTGCAGATGCATCTGCAGGGCTCTGCTCTGGGCAGGCCTTGGGCAGGTGACTTCTCTAAACTTCAGCTCTCTTCTGTCAAAGTAAGAATAGTGATCAAAATAAAAATAATAATTTGCAAGTTTGTGGCAAAGAACCCACCAACCTTCCCCATTTAAAGACAGATAAGCTCAGGAAGCCTGAAGGTTTACCTGCTTCATTCAGTGCCCTTCTCTCAGTGCCAAGAATAGTGCCTGATGCCATAAACATCTGTCTCGTGATGGATGCACTAAACACTGCTGTGCTTGGCACAAAGCGGACACTCAAAAGTGGTGGCACCTGGCTTGAGGGACCCTTCTTACTATTCTTTTTTTTTTTATTGCTGTGGCACTGGAACTTTTGAAGAGCTTCTGATGATAAAACATTGGCAAAGTTGAAGAACTTTCAGGAGAGTAACAAAGACAAGGGGCCATGAAGGGCCACTGGGGATAGAGGACCTCCCTCAGCCTCAACGTTACCTTTCCAGTTACGGTCCCTGTACGACACCTGTCAGCCTTTCAAAAGGAGGCTATGCAAGCTAGTTTTTGAGGCTTTTACTTATTTAACACTGTACAAGTTTGTAAAACAGCTTCCCCCAGGTATGTGAGCTCATCTGTCCAGCTGGGGTTCCTGAAACTGTTTGGCCAAGGAGGTTAATCATTTCCAAGGCCTTACAAGTCAAAAGTTCCCAGAGTTGGGAACCTTGTCCCTGGATTCAGAGTACACCCAAAGCCATAGCAGAGCCTATTTTTGAGATGGGAGGTACTTGACATGAGGGAGCTGACAATCTAAGAAAGCAGCTTTCTCAAACCCTTAGAAAACCCACTCGTACAGAAGACTCAACAGCTCTTCTAAAATGCAGCAGCTCTCCATAAAGTGTAGAAACACCATTTGGAATTAATTTCTTCAGGAAAAAAAAAAGAGGGAAAGTAATTTACAACCCAGAACAACTCAGAATGCTTTCTGTGTTGTGGATGAGATTCATCATACTGTTTTAGCACAGTTAATGGAAATAAAATGTGATAAATAATACTAATGAGAAAATGCTCATATATGCTTGAAATGATAATAAAATAGTATAGAAATAATGATGATGATGCATAATAAAAAGTTTAAATAGTCCTGTCCAGAGGAAATGTAGCTACTTCCTCTATTTTTATGTTTATTTAGAATTCTGATTACATATGCTCTTCAATTAGCCACAAACAGGCTATTAAACTCTGACCTATTGCTGAGTCACTCTGAAGAAACCAAGAAAAACCATGCTCACATAATATCTTCATGGACTCATAAGCAAGTGGGAGACACAGGTGTACATTAACATTTAATTAAGTTCTGAATTACTCTTATGAAAACAGTGCTCTGTGAGCATAGAGCGGGTATGGCAATCAGGGAGTGCTTCTTGGAAGAAGTAGACTTTTCAGAGGTGTTTTTTGTGTAATAGGTCAAGATAGAAAATGAGAAGAGAGAATGTGATACAGGTGAGAAGTGATGTGTGAACTAGAGAGGAGAGAGATTATTCAACATGGCTGTAAAATAAGTGACTATCAGGAATGAGGAAAAGAAAACAGTGATGCCTCAGTAACTTCTGCCTGGAGTTGGTGCTGTCTTCACGGAAGAGGAAAGAGAAGTAAGGATGGGGATTTAGACGGCGTGTTATTTTAGTTTAAGGGTGTGTGGGCATTCCACTGTGGGTCACATAGTCGGACACACGGATTTAGAGTCAAGCCCTGGACACTGACGGGTTAGATCTAAACCTGGGCCTTGTTAACCTACATAGTTATGTTCAGAGAGAGAAAATAACTGCCTGGAGAAAGGCAGTGGACAGAGGAGAACAGTGGATGGAAAACTTCTTAGAGAATAGTAAGAAAGGGGCAGGAACCGAAGTGAGTCCTGACAATAGGGCAGAGAAGAGAGCACAGAGGAGGGAGGAGGGAGGGCCTGGGCAGGGCAAGGGCTAGAGAAAGGCCCCTGGACTGGACAGTGGGGGGTGTCACTGACGCCTATAGGTGAGGATCCTAAGCAGTGGTGATGGAGCCGGATTACAGGGGGTGGAAGGTGGAAACTAAGCAAGTGGAGATAACGGATACAGATCTTTCAAGTGTTTAATCACTAGGAACAATGAGGTGACCACTCATCAAGTGCCTTTAGTGACAGGCATTGGGGATGCTCGTGGCAATGAGACCCAGGCCCACTTCAAGGAGCAAGCAGCGTTATGATGCAGGATGCAAGCCGGGACAGAGAATGCTCTGGGTGATGGAAGACGGAAGGAGAGAGACAAGACAGTCACAAGGGAGGGAGGGAGAGAGCGGCGAAGCAGGGTGGGAAGGCTTCAGTGTGTTAGGTACTCAGGGGAATGATCCAGGAATGGGAGAGACCAGTGCATAAGACGAGGATGACTGCTGGCACAAAGTCCCCCAGGTGGAAGGCAGAGCAGGTGAGAGGAGGCATGAACCAGCAGTGCTGGCAAGGGGGGCACTGCTTCCTGTGGGGCGTGGGGCATACATGAAGGTAGGAAGAAGTGTGGCCCAATGCAGGGGACTGAGTTCAGCTTGATGTTTCTTATTTTTCTGCTGAACGAAAGAGAGGGAGGGCAGTGGGACCAGGAATAGGCTGGGGCTGGAAGAAAGGAGCAGACTTTTAAAACAGCTCCTTAAGTCACAGGGAAGCAGAGCAACTGCCCAACAGTCTCAGGCTACACCCAGAGGTGAGAGAGTCTCAGTCTGCCGCCACCGTTTCCATCCTCCGGTCTCTCTTATGTGCAAAGATCTGGAACAAAATGTGTTCTTGTATTTCTTTCACAGAGAGGCCTGGGGTCAGGGAGGCCACAAGTGTGCGTAGGATTTACTCACGGTGAGCAGAGGATGGAATTTTAAGATGAGTCTAACTAGACTCCGGGAATGTCAATGGCTCTGTGATGACAAGATGAGAGAGGGTCAGCATCCTCTCATGACTATGATCAGCTCACCTTGCAGGGCAAGGGAAGTTTAACCACGTAAACAGAGCATCATCTACTGTTATCAAATGTATGACATTCATGACCCCAGAAAGGTACGGTGCAGTTGCTCTTTCACTGGATTTAGGTTCTCAAGTGAGTAGCATAAACATAATGTATTTAAAACCAAGCCATGAAAATCCTATAAAACTGTCCCATGTTTAAACAGGTATATCATTACCATTAAAACAGACCATTTCTCCTCCACATTGGAAGAGACTGGTTTCTCCCACTGAGGTTGAAGAGGAAATGCTCATGCTCCCTGGCCGTGATGTCTGGGGAACACCTACACGAGCATTTCAGACTCTTGCTGGATGCGGGGACACCCTGGAGCAAGGAGCCTGGAAGACCTGTCCACACTAAACTGCTATTTCTTTGTTTTCCCCAGAGACCAGTGTTAAATCTTTGTGAGATAAATCCATGTATGATCTTTCTCCACAGTCATATATAATGCTAAGGTAACAGCCCCATGAACCTCAGAACGTAAAATGTATTTTGCTCGCTCATCTGCTGTGTGAGGTACATCCGGGTAAGCTATCAAGATGCTTCATCCTAAGGAAATTCTAAATGGCAGAGTGTTTACCTTTTCAGGAGCCCTACCTCAGTGGGCTGGTCAGCTGGCTGTGGCATCGTGAGTTGGTTGTGGTGCTGCAGCACTGTCTTCAAGTAATCCAGAACAGTCTGGCAGGGCACTGAGTGGGAGAAATTTCACACATTAGCTATCCTCTGACAAGAAAATAAAAAGCTTTAAGATTTAAGAATTTTGATATAAACTTCTAAAAAAACCCAAACTTAAACTTATTTTCTAAAGGAAATGGAATCTTCTTTTATTGACATCCGTAGTTACCTTCAGTTTGTAAATACAGAACAAATGCTAAATTCAGGGAGAATCTCTAGGCTCAGCACAATTTCCTGAAAACTTTCAAGTCATACTTACTCTAAGATGAATTCAAGTCAATAATCATGACCACTGTACAACTTGCAGAAGAGATGTGTCTTGTCTTCTTTGGCGCAAGTTGTAACATTAGCAGCCGATGATGCTTTTTAAAATTTAAGTACTGAAAGATGATGTTGTCAATCACTGGTATGATACTAATTTTTAGTGACATACTGAGTCCTGGTTCTTTTGTCAGCAGGAATGCCATGTATGTTACTTAGACCTGCTTCCCTACGAGTACAGTTGCCCATGCAGTTCTTACTGCATGTGTCTCTTTCTCCCTCAAGGGCCTCGACTGATCTGGTCCCACTGAGATTTGGTTTTCTGTATTTCATTAACTGTTTCACTATTCTTTGACTTAATCATATAGAATCAATGAATAATTATAGTAATACTGAACAGATATTAACCCAACACAGTACATGAAATTTTCTATACCACTGCAAAAATAATTCCTGTATCTTAAGATTTATATTACATTCCTTTTAGGAGTATTAATGAATTGCTTTTAAAGATCTTGGTAGCCTAGTTAGTAATTTATACAAATGATGGCCACTGTCTGTCTTAGCTTTGTGTTTTCTTAAGATGTTTTTGTCACATTAAAGAAAATAATAAATATTTAACCTAAGCCCCAATTTTAAAGTATCACCACTGAGCTTTCTTCACTTTGTTTTTCTCACCACCTTTTTTTTTAAGATAGCAAAGAGACATTATCTTTATCCACTGTTAATACATTTGGACTTTTTAGGTGATATCACATTGTAATATAAATCAAAAATTACATCCACATTCTTTTGAAGAATCTGAATGATGAGAAGCAGAAGTAGGTTAGAATATGTTTCTTTTTGCTAAAAAAATTATTTTTTTACATAAGCACCCTATGATCCTGTGTCTTACAGACCTATGTCACAGGTCACTCTTCAACAGTAATTTGAATATATTACTTCAATTTGAAATTGAAAAGGCATTTGCCAAACAGCCACAAAAGTCAGCAGAAAGAAGCCATACGTGGATCAGTTTGAGGGGGACCTCTTTTTAAACCAGTCTAGTAAAACGTGTTCACTATTTCTAATTCCACCAGCCTACTGAAAGTCTAACCCACTTTGCTGACGCCATAGTGAGTGAGAATGAATCTTCTGTCAACGGGCATTAATTACAAGAGAGAAGCAGAGGACATGAGCAGCTCAGGGGGACAGGCAACAGGCTTACGTTTGAACTCTGGTTTTTCACTAACTGTGTGGCCTATGGGCCTCCATGTAACTTCCATGTCTAAGTCTCCTCCACACAAGGCTGAGGCTGAGGATCCCTATCCTTCAGGGCCTGTGGGCAGAATCAACACAACCGCATGGGTCACCACCGCTCTGCCCCGTGACACGGCCGAGGTATTACTCTGGATTTAGTTTGGAAGTTTTGGTAAAATTTGTCAATTTTCATTGATTAATTAGGCTGTGAAGGAAACTTTTTTTTGATCCCTTACCCATATCTTACAGTCGTTGAGAAGTTTATGACAAAATGTTTAAATGAAGTACAAAAACGCTTACAAATATTCAGTATGACCCCAACCATGTTAAAAAGAATTATGTATCTAGAGAAGAGACTGGAAAGAAATAAACCAAAGGGAAATAATAATAATAATGAACAACAACAATATTTTAGTAGCAGTATTAGGAATTACTACCTTTATCCTTTGCTGTCCTTGTTTAAAAAAAAAAGGTTAAAAAGCTTCTCCAGTGGGCATGTATTATAATAATGTGGAAGTCTGAAGAAGGTCTGCCTAAATGCTGTCTCCCCTTCCTTTGCGCCTCGGGTGTTGCTTGTGCTGGGAGCGCCTCTCCCTTCTCTGCACTCCCAATATTTAGGCTGCAGTGCTAAGCTATGAGCAAGGCCAGCTGATTCAAACACATTGGAAGAAAAACAGAATTTTAGGTGCATTTGCTGGCTTTACGAGGGCTCTGTTTAAGGCAAGTGGCTTAAGGTTGGTATCTGGGCACAAGGCCAAAGGCCAGGAAGACTGAAGACCAGGCTCCTGTTTAGCCAGTTGCTGACAAGCTGACACAGCCATGGCCCCAGGTCACCTGAGTAACTCCAGCGGGGGCGCAGCCCCTATCCTTAGGAAGCAGAGGTTCCAGGCCCCTCTCCAGCCCAGGGCTGGGGTGTGCCCTCCCCACTGTTACGTACTTGGAAAATCGCTCCTGACTGGGGCTCTCTGGACAGTTGCCTAGATTTACACATGGAAGCTGTGGAACCAAGTAAATATTTCTGGTGAAAAAGAAAATCAGTCCGTCTGGAAAGTGGAGACAGTTTTGTCTATTAAAGTCGGGATGAAAGTAGAAGGGAACATATTATCCCGACCCAGCTACACCACCTACTGCCAGCAGTCCAGGAGGGGCTCTGCAAAGGGACTCCAGGAAAACCTCCTGTCCTCCTGCCCTTCTGTCCTGCTAACCTACAGTTCTGTGGACACACAGTGGCATTTCCCAGTGCAGTCGTGGGACCTCACAGATGGAGGATGGGGCCTGTGCTTCACATGAGGTTCCTGCAGTCCAGACCAGACATTGCTCCCCTGGCCTCCAAGAGAAGAGTGAGGCCAGAGCTTACAGCAGTGAAAGATCAGCAGGCTCCCTAAGGAGCTGACTGGGTCCCAGAGGCCTGCACACTGAATTGCCTCCTCGTGCAAATTCTCAATTTTAAGCAAGTCACTCTTGCTGATGGAGAAGCTACCTTCTCAGACCCACTGAGCAGGTTTCATTTATTCACTTATGTATTTTTCAAAAGAAAAAGACAGATGCATCTTGCAGGTTTAATGAGGAAATAAGTGAAGAATCAAGAATTACAGAAACTTCTGTTAAAGGGAAATGGAGACAAAAAGGTACCCACCCCAAATGTTCCCAGTGCCTATACTGATATTGATATTTCGAATTCCTCCCTCTATGTAATAGCATTTTAAAATGCATATCAAAGAGTCCTGGAAAGAGTAAAATACCTGAAAGGAAAAGAACAAATTAGGAAGATCTTTTGTGTCAACGAAGTAAAAACTTGAGAGGAAAGGGTTCAAATACTTTATCAGTTATCTAAGCCATCTGGATGAATGTGCCACTCTCAGAAACAAAGACCCTGCCTGCCCAGCCTTTCCTCGCCATGGTCCACACAGACAGGTCTTCAGCACAGTCTAAGGTAACAGCAGTGTGTGACAGCTGACAGAACACCTTGGGAATTGGTCTTCAAGCAATCCTTGGGCATTTTTTTCCTTAATGTACTGACTTATGAACTGTGTGACGCTGGGCAATGTACTTAACCTCTCAGCCTCTGTTCTCTTATCTATAAAATGGGGATAACTACCTACTGCCTACAGTTACTGTGAGGATTAGCTGAAATAATCCTTGTAAAGCAGAAAGCCCTCAGTAACTACTACCTAATGTCAGCTACTGTTATTTCATGACCAGGAGTCTGGTGAGTCCCTCACCGAGGCCACCTAACCTGCTCTGTAAGTACATACTGCTAGTACTGCTCTTCCAAGGACAACGGCTCTGTCTGTTTATGCTCATATGAAGGGTGCTTAGACATGGAGTACCTAATTTTCACTGCAGATTACTGCATTAAAATCTTGGTCAGTTTCTCATCTCAGTCCTCAAGCATTATTTAATCTACCTATGATACAACTGATTTTAGACTCAAAACATTTATCTCAAAATATACCACCTACAATTTTAGAGGGAGATGGAAATTACTTACTCTCTGATGACCATCCCATCTGTGTGCTTATATTATCTTTAACTGCCCTATTCACACCACCTCTGTAAAGCGTAAGCTACTGAACTGCAAATATCTAGAAATAAACATTGAGCTTGAAGTATTATTCAGCCTTCAAATGCATCATTATGCTTCTGATAATGCAATGTCCTGTTTCCATTTAACTTAATTGACATGTAGATGCTACAACAGGCCTGATACTGGGCTAGAAATTTGGGATACAAACATGATTTCAATTTAGTCTCTGATCTTAGGGACCTTACATGGCCTGCCTCTCCTCATATTAGGCCACCACGGGAAACAAACACACAAAGAGTAAAAACTTCTGATACTGACTGTAACAGAAATATGGGTGATATACTATGCAAAGTGGTTAATTCTGCCTGAGAACTGGCAGAAAGGTTTGTTACAGAGAACAGCTGCCACCTGAACTGGTACTGAAGGATGAGTAGGTATTTCTCAAGTGAGGAGTATGTTCTTAGGTGGGAAGGAACAGCAGGGAAAGACCAAGAGCCAGTGTACGGAATCATAATGTCCACCTGGAACACCTGGCATATGGTGGGAACTGGGAGTTGCGTCTCCAAAAATGGACAGGAAAAGATTCAAGTAGTGAAGGACCTCACGTGCCACACTGAGGGTGCTGGAATTTAATGCAGACTACGTGAATGAAGCCTTTACAGGCTTTCAGCAGTACATGATCTGGGGCTTTTCCATGGGTAGAGCCTGGAGTCTGGGAGGTGTTAAGTGGCTGTTCAATAGTCCATGTGGGGAGCTGGGCCTGGATGAAAGCAGTGGGAAGAGAGCCGGAAACCAAACTGACAGATATGTAAGCGGTGAACCCAGAGGAGAGGAGATTGGTATGAAGAAGAGCAGCGAGATGAGTTATGGCTGGATCTGAGGTCCTAACGTGGGCACCTGATTCAATGTTGACCTCTTTATAAGAACACCACTTATAATCTACAAAAAGTATGTAAGATTTCTCTATGACTAGATACAGAACAGTTT